TTTATCCTAGTATGAGAATCCTCAGCATCCATCCAATGCTTCCAGGTTTTCGATCGTCGTCTAACATTGATCCATTCATGATATCAACTTATACAATGAATCAAAAAGGTCAAGTTCATTGATCAAAATGCATCATTCAAACAATGACAATAGGACCTTGAATCTATTTGTAAACTTGTATAAAGTTAATGTCATTCAAATGGTAGTTGTCAACTAACGTATCGTTTATTCACAATGAAGATTACATGGTGTTTGTTTTAAAACTATAGTTAGTTTCACTTTGTAAAGGAACGTTTGTTTAATTTTCTATTAAATGTTTGTTTGTTACGATTGGATTCGGTTTCTATGTTGACAAGTAATGAATGATTATCGAAAAGACAATTTCAGTATATATATATATATATATATGCTGATAAGTGAATAACTCTGATTACCGACTCGAACATGAATTAACTATGTATGTTTGCGTTTGTCTTCCATGAATGAAGACCAGTTTAAATGCCTAGTATTTATCTGTAACCTGCATTCATCCGAGAATGTTGACATCCGAACAAGAATCCTAAGCAAGCTCAAACATTGTCCTATCATGACCCTGCAGGAAGTAATTACCGAATTCCAAAGGTAAGTGAATTTGAAGCATGATACCTCGATGGTAGAGAGCGATAACCGCTTCCTACACGTCAATGCAGTCTTACAAGGTTCCAGCATGCAGAATTATCGTAATAACAGCGTTAAACCATCATTCTCATGCTGGTTATGTGTCGGTTGGCATTTCAAAAGGTTTTGTCCCTTTAAAAATTATCGTTGTACTATATGTTCTAGAAAAGGGCACAAAAAAGTCACTGCAAAACCCTTAAACGCCATCAAGCCATGAACAGCTAAAGTAACGGTAGCTTTTAAGAAAATCGGCTCCCATAACCATAGAAAGTATGTTTCTCTCAAGACTAATCGGTATGATGCCCACATACGGTTAGGCACAGCTTCCGAGATAACAATGTTAAGCAGAAGAACGTGAGAGAAAATTGGGAAACCACAAATATGCTCGGCTCATCAATCAGCACATAGTGTAACCGGATTAAGCAGTTCTTTCCGTTTGTCCAAAACTGATCAGACTGTACAAACATTCTTTAGTAATGGGAATAGGGTTTTGTGGATAGTGTGGTAATTTTTAATAATTGAATTCAAAAGTCAATTAAAGCCAGATTATCATGAAGAATCTGGAGTACTGGACAACTTTTTTGTCCTAATATGTGATTCTTCATCAGTGCTTATTCACAATCTCGCATATAAAACTCGAATCTGGGACTTTCGGGCTCATTGTCGATCACTGAACCTCTAAACCACTAAACCAACATTCAACGGTGGTAATATCTAACCTCAACCACCTCACGACATTGCTACGCCGTCCATCGTTGTCCGCAGTGATTAACTTCATTTACAAAAGATACGTTTGAAATTCACAGTCGTCCAGTACTTCCGGTTTTTCCATGATACTCTAGCTTTAATCAACTCATCAATTCAATCATTAAAATATTCTTTAATAAATTGATCATCAATACAAATACTACTTATGAGTAGTCAAATATATGATTATATTTAATCAACAAAAAATAAACAAAACTGGATCGAACACAGGGCCTATCAGTCTCGCGCCAGGTGCTTAACCAACTAGACAACTGAGCTGGCCGGTATCCAACAGTGTTAATGTCTAACTTCAGCCAATCGTGGATGCTCACTGGTGAGGAGTCCCATACTAAGACGAAACGGCCGTCTAGTGCTCCCAGGTTTTCCATGATGATCTAGCTTCAACTGACTCATGATTTCAATCAGTGAAAAAAACTAGACCGACTAAAACACTCTTATATCCATAGATGAAGCATAATATGATTACATTCATTTATCCCATTATAGAATATTTTCAGGTGAGACTATAATTTATTGATGAACCAATCAGGTTTACGATCACAGATCTTGAATTTTGGTACGAAGTTTACTTATCCATTTGAGTAAATAGTGTTTGGGCATTTTAGGTGATGTTAGTTCGTGACGAAAAACCCTAAATCTAATTCCTAACCTTAATCTCATAGTAATTTATAAGCCTTATTTAGTCCTAGTTATTAGTTGGACACTCTGAAGATCATTTTATCGTCATTCAACAGTCGTTCACAAATTAAAGTCTCATTGATATTCATTCAGATGCATAGAAACTGTACACCTTTTCTTCTGTTTGTTTGTAATAATAAATATTGTCTTATAAAATAACTAAATACCTAAGAGAATTGTAATCACTACTAATAAAATTATAAGTAGTATAGTAGTGGACGACCGTTTTGTTTTAGTATAAGACCCCTTAACAGTACGCACCTACGATCTCGTACGCCGAACTCAAACCTAGGAACCTTGTTCTCGTGGGTGAACGCTCAACCTTGATATAACTAAGCCAGCCATCAAAAAATGGTGTTCATGTCTAACTTCAACCAATTTACGATATTGCACCACTGTCCTTCATTGTCTTCAGTGAATAACTTCATTTACAACAGATGCGGTTGAATTTCATGGTCGTCCAATGTTTCTAGTTTTTCCGATTCAACCATTAGAATATTTCAATGGTTAAGATCGTGAGTCAATGAAAGCAAGACCACCATGGAAAACCTATTATGGGACTCCTCAGTAGTGCTCATCCACGATCCCGCCCCCCACGCGATTCGAACCTCGAACCTATCAGTCACGCGCTCGACCGATTAACCGCTAGACTGCTAAGCCAGCTGTTATCCGACGGTTTTCATGCATAAATTCAACCAATCCACAAAATCGAATTTCAATTAACTCATGATCTCAACCATTGAAATCACTATACTATGCATAAAACCCTTCTGACATTAAAAAAATTCGTTCATAAATTGATCAACAATATAAATACTACTTATGAGTAGTCAAATATATAATTATATTTAATCAATAAACAAAAGAAAAAAAACAAAAAAAAAACAAAACTAGATCGATTAAAACACTCTTATATCCATCGATGAAACATAATATGATTGTAATCATTTATCCCATGATAGAAAATGTTTGATTTGTAATGTTGCATAGAAACTGTACACCCCTTTGTGTCTTTTATTGATTCACTCAAATAAACTTAGTAACCATACTTCTCCAATTCATCTTATCTTAGTTTCATGTTGTAATAATAAATATTGTTTTATAAAATAACTAAATATTAATAATAAACCAATTACAATAATAATCATGATTAATAACATGATAAGTAGTATAGTTAACATATTTAGTAACCATGTGATTTTTTGTTCACATTTATCATTTATATATTGTTTTATATAATCTTCTAATAAAATACAATCTTTCATGGTAGATAATAATGTCTGATGGTTTATTATGGTGGAAATATTTGAATGATTAATCATTTTAGATTGGTTACTATGCCAAATTTCAGTTGAAGATGTTGTCAACGATGAGGGTGTTGTCGCTGTTGTTGTTGTTGTTGGTGGTGGTGGTGTTGGTGATGTCGTTGTTATTCTTCCATACGAATCAGGAATCATTGATAATTTAGATGGATCATATTTTTTTATGGATCGTTTTGCTCGTAATTTCTTAATCATTGATTGTTTCGTAGATAATTTCATTGTAGATGATTCTATAGGATTTATCATTGTTTTACAATAATGTTTATGGGTTTTTCTATCAGCTATAATAATAAATTGTGAATAATTTGGACATGTATATATCCAATAGATTAAACAATTTGTATAATAATCATTATATAATTCTATACGTGAATCTGGTAATGTTGTTACTAAGGGATTGATAATAATCTCATCATTTCTTATACAATCTTGTAATATAAAATAATCTAATGATAAATTAGCTATAAGCATTACATCTATATAACGTAATTGTTTACCATCAATGGATATATATCTTAACCATGTAGAGAATAGATTGAAATCATCTCTATCTAAACGATAAATTGGTATAGTTAATGTTAAATATAAATCAGTAGTTGATTCAATATAATTTTGTATAGAATGATATATACTACTACTAAATTGATTAGAAGTAATAATAAACCATTCCATATTAAAATGATTTGTTAATGTACCAATAATGATATGTAATAAACGTTTAGTAAAATGTGTAACACATTGACTCATAATTGATTGATTCCATGGATTATTTATGATTGATGAAGTCGATGTTGAACTTGTCATGGTTGTTGTTGTCGTCGTCGTCGCCGTCGTTGTTGTTGTCATCGTAGAAGAATTCAAACAATCTAATATAGCAATTTTTTGATGAGATACATGAAATATTATTTTAGAAATTTTTCTAATTTCTTGATTATTTTTATTTGATCTTAAAATACATTGAAAATAACATGGTATAGTTTGATATTCAGTATTGTAGTCTGTTGTTGAATTCAATGAAATTGAACGTGGATAACGTATCAATTCCATAGTATTTTCTTTATTAGAAACATGATCATTCATAGATGTATATTCTTGAATAGATAGATTATTTACAGTTTCTAATACTTTCATTATATCATTGATACCATTATTCATTACATCATCATGATGATCAGGATCATTATCATGATCAGGATCAGGATCAGGATCATTATAATCATTATGATTATTGATTACATTATCAAGATTGTTGAATTCTTTTACATTTATTTCTATACTACTTATTAATATACATAACATAACGAATTGAATATAAGTAATAAAATGAATTTTCATGAAATTCATATGGAATTAAACATTTTGTAAATAAGAATGATAGTTTCCATAGTAATTTATAAATGATGTTAAACATTTTTATTTCTATGGTAAATAAATGATATGCCTATTTGAACTTAATCAAGTCAAATTCGATGACCTTGACAATTTCTAGAATTTTCACTGGATAAAATGTTACCATCCAATAGATGAATGTTTCTTTCTTTTTTTTTTCTTTTTCTTTTTGATGATGATGATGCTGATGTTGATGATGATGATGATGATTCTTATTGATAGGATGATAGAAAAGCCTAGACATAGGTTAGTTGTTACTATGTACATATGTATATAGTTTGTCGGATTGTTCATGTACAAATTTTTTGGGAGGGGTGAGGGTATGGAGTGCTTATACATTATGTTCTATATATGCATGTGTTGAATACATAAATACATACACATACATACCTATCTACTGATGTACATACATAAGTAGTATACATAGTTTTATCATTGTATGGTGTAAAAATTCACTTAAGGAATTTATTTGATTTGCTTTAGACAGAAATTCTAGGTAAAGTTAACTGTAATTCATCTATTTAATTTATTCAATATTTTTCAGGACTACTACTACTACTACTACTACTACTACTACTACTACTACTAGTAGTAGTAGTAGTAGTAGTAGTAGTAGTAGTAGTAGTAGTAGTAGTAGTAGTAGTAGTAGTAGTAGTAGTAGTAGTAGTAGTAGTAGTAGTAGTAGTAGTAGTAGTAGTAGTAGTAGTAGTAGTAGTAGTAGTAGTAGTAGTAGTAGTAGTAGTAGTAGTAGTAGTAGTAGTAGTAGTAGTAGTAGTAGTAGTAGTAGTAGTAGTAGTAGTAGTAGTAGTAGTAGTAGTAGTAGTAGTAGTAGTAGTAGATAGATAGATAGACATAAAGGAAAGTGCAAGATCTTCAAATACAACATGGAGAATACCAACATATTCACATTCTAGAAGATATGGAAACATTCATGTACCTTGGAAGCGTCATCAATGAACAAGGAATCTCTACATTTGAAGGATATATAGAACTCAAAACAACTATCTTCAATCCAATAGCAAATTCAAAATTTTCAATACAAACATCAAGATAGTTATGTTGTACAGAGCTTTAACATGGAGAACTACTTCAATCATCATCAAAAAGATACAAGTATTTATAAACAATTATCTATGCATGATACATCAATATCCGTTGACAAGATACAATCAGTAATAGACTACTATAGAAGAAGACAAGCCAACTTCCATCTGAGTAGGAAATTTGGAAAATATATTGGAAGTGTATAGGATATAGATTGATGAAAATCATCAAATTGCATCATGAAACAAGCGTTAACTTAGAATCCAGAATGGAAAACGGAATTAAGGAAGATTAAAGAGCATACTACATGGGGAATTGAAAACATAATTGAATAGAATGAATAACAACTGAAAACAACTAGAAAGAAATGGTCAGTATAGAATTGGATGGAAAATGCTAAATTTGATTATCACAATTGATTGATCACTGGGCGGTGATCAATCAATTGTGATTACATCTCAGTCCTACAGGAGGTTAGTCACGGCTCGGATAGCTCAGTGATAACGTCTCTGACTGTGAAGCTGGGTGACACGAGATCGAATCCGCCAGGGAACACCAGTTCCCTCAAGATTACAGGTACACCTTGCTGACGAGTGCCCAGTAGCACGAAACCCAGGTCCAGGGTTTCCTGTTGACTACCTCCAACCACCATCTAATCTAAATTTGATTATTTCATTCATGTCGAGAACAAACACTAATATCTTTAAAATGAGTGTTTAAATGTAGAAACTAATGTATTGAAACAAATGATCGCGTAGCTATTGACAAACTGATGAACGGATATTGATTTGTATCAGACTATTACTGTAGTATATACTACTGAAGTTGATAGATATAAGTAATGTGTAACATCAATCGAAAGTGTAATACCTGACAACAGAAAGTTAAGAAAATTGATGAAAAGACAAATGAGAATAAAGAAGAAGGATTAGTGTGAAAACGAAGGATCAATAAAGTCTGAGACGATTGATTGATATTTTGCAAATGAAGAATTCACTGTATAGTTCTCTGATTTTACTATGATGTTTTGTAATTTGGTTATCCACATTTGTGTTCTTGTTCACTACAACGTAAATCTAATGACTAGGAAACTCAAGAACTGCCATTTCAGTAGTTGATACACTTTTTTCCTCTGTCATTCAAAGGAACAAGTAGTCATCAGTAAAGAATCCATACAATAAAGACATATACGATGGTATAAAGAGATATGATGGTAACGAAACTGGTTAACTTTTTTCTTAATATATCAGAACAGTCTAGCGGTTCGTTTCGTGCCATGGTAACAAAATTGGTTAATATCAGTCTTATGGATGATTTACAGATGACTATAATTGACCGTTAATATATATTTATATTGAGTGTCCAAAAGTTAAATATTTGCAAAATGGAAATATCTTGCTTTGAGAATACTTTACTGTAACCAAATATACGGTATTGAATAAAGTGAGTATTATGGTTAACAATACTATCTTTATCAGACAGTGGTTAGAGGTAGCCGATAGAAAACTTTGGATTTAGATTGTGTGCTATTTAGCACTCGTCAGCAAGGTGTACTTGTAATCTTGAGGGAACTGATGCTGTCTGACGAATTTGATCCCATCTTACCTAGTTTCACATTTAGAGACGTTATCACTGGGTTATCTGAGACGGAACTGACCTCCTGTAGCACTGCCGACTATCACCAACCACCATCTTATTTCAACAGTGCAGGCAATGTCGAGTCACCTAGACTACTGGTGACATTGTAACTTGGTCAATAGGATTCTATCTGCACTAAAAAGAACCTGAATTACATGACGTTGATTACCACCCAGTGATCAATCAATTTTAAACTATCTTCATGATTATGAGTTCATGGAGATTGCCAGATTTTATTAAGATCACGAATCGATCTAAGTTAGACGACCAAATACAACCTAAAATTACTGAACAGCCACTCTTTAGAGTATGGGATTCCTCAGCAATTAGAATCCACGACTCCGTATCAGGGAATTGAACCTAGAACTCTCATCCTCTCACGTGAACCCCTAACTTCCAAACTATTGTGCTGAGATTCAGTGGTGTACAAGTATTACTTTAATCAGTCAGTGATAGTTTCCAACTACCTTCCATTACTTATAGTATATAACTTCCTCATAAACGACACGTTCGAATTTCATTGGTTACGGCTTCTCAATAGAACTCCAGAAATTTCCTCTTGAATCTAATCACTAATGAACATCTATTGTTTATCATTATGGGGGTTGTCAACATCTTAGTAACGATACTTGTAAGATTCTAATTAAATAAACATCTTCATAAAACCAGTTGATTTCATATCCTTTTACTATGTTAATGAGAATCCGTGACCAATGGGGTTGTGTTATGTTGTTTTTGAGACAATTACTCACAGAAGGCAATGGATGAAGATTGAAAAATATGGTAAGTTGCTTGGGATTAGACATTTACACCATTGTGTACTGTCTAAAGGGGATTAAAGATTAGTCGTTTGTGCGAGATGAAGAGGGTCCTAGTTTCCATTCACGTGAGAGGCTCAGTGAATCTTTACTGCTCGGGAGTTCTTTACTAGAAATTAACAGCCATCAAGTGTTTCCACATTTTCCTTAGAGGTTTAACTAAGATGAGTTTCTGATTTAATCTATGAAAATCCTACAATCTCCATAAATCCCCTTGAATTAATAATTATTTTCATTATAGAGTTGTGGAGATTGTTGAGCTTTATTTGAGACTATGAACCGATCAGTCTTAGACCATCATTTAGAATCTAGAAGCGCTGGACGACCGCTTCGCTTAAGTATGGTAGTCTTCAGAGGTGCTCATCTACAATCTCACACATGAAATTCGAACTCAGAGTCCTCGGTCTCTCCCGAACACTTAACTTCGGGATCATTGAGCCGGTACTGACTAGTGTTGATATCTGACTCTAGTCAGTCCACGACATTACACAACCAATTTCATTGTCTTCAGTGGATAACTGTCTCACACTCGTCACTGCTTTCACGTGTACCTAAAATTTCTGGGTTTGAATCTCGTGTGTATTTTATTGACGTGTATTTATAAGGAATCCCACAATAGAACGAAATGGCTAGTTAATGTTTCCAGGTTCTTATTGATGATCTAAAATTGATCGGTATCAGTTTTGTTTAGAAAGTAAACATTTTTATTTATTTAAACACATGATCATCGGTTAAGAGAGGCACCAAACAGGTATGCGCCACATAAATCATTCGATTTGTGTGAGGGATAGGATACTGTCTCAGTGCCCGAACCGAAGCAGGTGGTCTTCTTAGGTGACCACACATTGAACCTTTTAACTAAATGTCTAATCCACAAGACAGTGGAGCAACATCAAGAGATGCACTCACATGGTAGCCGGTGACTAACAACAGGTTCACACGCCATTTGTTTTCTTCGGGATCCTGGAGCCCATGTGCACTGTTGATTTGTAATCGGGGTTTTCCAACTCCCTTAGGTAAACTTTCCGTGTCCACTAACCCGGTTAAGGCGTTGAACATTCCCTTTTCGTTCTCTCAGCTTCATAAACAACACCTCCTTGGAGAGTAGGCAATGAGTAGGACTTCCTTGTCAGTGGTTGTATACATGTAAGCGTGTAAGAGCATTTCCAGATTTTCAATGATGATCTAACATTGATCATTATCAATTTTGTTTAGAAACTAAACATATACAAATTATATTATTGACACAAATCATATATTAAGATTAATTATGTTTATTTAAGTAATATAGGTTAATAGGTTATATGACATTGACAAAATATAATTGACAATGACATGTATATACATTGTATCTAATTGAAATTTATACTAATTTTTAGATGTATTTTTCATTGAATGTCATCTTCTTATGACATCATAGTTGGACAATGAATCTATATGATTTCACTAAACACTGTAAGGATAATAAGTAGTATCCATAGTTTCATTATTCTGATTCATACTTAATAGAATTGTGTTTCACAGATTGAAATCATGAGTCAGTTGAAGCTAGACCACCATTGGAAACCTGGAAGCACTGGACGGCCGTTTCGTCCTGGTATGGGACTCCTCAGCAGTGCGCATCCACGATCCCGCACCACGCGGGGCTCGAACCCAGGACCTACTGGCTTCGCGCGAGAGCTTCTAACCACTAGACCACTGAGCCGGCATCCAACGGGGTTAATGTCTAACTTCAACCAATCCACGAAGTTGCGCCACCGTACACCATTGTCTTCAGTGAGTTGTTATCTCACAACAGACCGGTTGAACTCCACTGGTAACGGCTTCTCACTAGAACTTCAGGAGTTTTTCCTGAAGTCAGTCACTAGTGAGCAGTTGATTATTATTATTATCAGTGCTTCCAGGTTTTCAATGGTGGTCTAGCTTCAACTGACTCATGATTTCAACCTGTGAAATTTCTAAAATTCTCCATAAAACCCATTCTGATAATAAGAATTGTGTTTATTAGTAGGGGTTTTATGAAGATTTTAGTAAGTTCAATAGTTGAAATCATGAGTCCATTGAAGGTGGAACACTAGGAAATACCTGGAAACACTGGATGACCATTTCATGATTTCATAATTTCAACTATTGAAATTACTAAAATCTTCACAAAAACCCTCTTCTGATAATAACAATCATCATATACTCACTAGTGAATGACTTCAATAGGCATTTCCTAGAGTTCTAGTGAGAAGCAGTGACCAGTGGAGTTCAACCAAGTTTGTTGTGAGATATCAGCTCACTGAAGACAATGGTGTACGGTGGCACAATTTCATGGATTGATTGAAGTTAGACATTAACACCATTGGATG